CCTGTTAGCGACGGGACCTACCTAACTGTTCATCCTTTGCCCTGCACCTTCTTGCATTTGGCCTGTGCTTCTGGCAGCTGTGAAACGGAAGTCCATCCAGCGCTTAAGAAAACAAATAAAAAGAAAAATCAGAAATAGTTCCACCTCACGGCTGTACTGCTCATTTATTCAAACCAGCCGGTACGCTCGAGCAGTATCTGATAGAAACAGAGTCGCCAAAGAGATGGGTTACCAGAGTGTATTTTTGATCACTAAATTGTAATAATTAAAAAAACCTACCATAATATTTCGACTTACCCACGTTTTCTCCCTCTGTGCAGTGTCAGGCATTCATCTCCATGCCCATCCATGGTTTTTTCTCTTCCATCTTCTTTTTACTTAAGCTCCCAAAACCAGAAAAGGTAACCATGGCTGCAGGTAAGTCCTGCTGCTTTCCTGCGCGGCGAGGCTCCACGGATGGGTGTGGTGGTAGGAGGCTCACCTGAGGGCACCAGTTCTCCCCCAGGGGCTCTGAGGCCTCTACCAGTGCTTGCAGAGAAGCCAGTCCTGCGCCGGTAACGCACACAGGGAGAAATCGGTGCCTTGCCGCCAGGAACACCTTGAGAATAAACAGGGTCTGGTTTTGCTCGTACAGAAAAGCTGGGGTTTTTTTTCCCTAAAGTGAGCAGAGGAGTTACTTGACACATTAAAATAATTAAAAAGCTAAAAGTTGTAGAATTTACATAAGTTAAAAGATAAATACTGACTAAAAAGCGTCAGCGCCTGCTTTAGGTACTGCCGTAGCGCAAGAAAGCACCGTGGGTTCTTACGTCTGGAATGAAGACAGGAAGGGTTGAAGCGATGAGAAATCACGGGGGGGGGGGTTTATATTAGTCAATGTTTTGTTGGGGTTTTTTTTTCTCTGTTCAGCCAACACCAAAAGATGAGCAACAAGCTGAAGAGACGTTGGGGGACGTCTGGGGACGTGCGCTCAACAGTCGCCACCCTCGCCTCAGCTGCCATCGCACACATCCAGCGTTACACAGCGTTTTAAGAACGGTCTCTAAGGGGCATTGCTCGGGGAGTAGAAATGTTTCAGTGCGTGACTTCTTAAAGCGGTGAACTGCTCCGTGACTTGCAGTTCTTCGGGGAAGAAAAATAGTTTGTCATCCCTCAGAACTAACCCTGACGCCTGCTGAGGCACGTCACACCAAAACACACCGGGGTATCAGAAGAGAAAGGGGAAGCTTACGTTTTTTTTACACTGCAGCCACTCCCCAGCTCCTCTTCCTCCGCCGCAGTAGCGTTCCTGCACCCAACGCCAGGCGTGCAAGGGGGGCACCCCGGTGCTGCTGCCGCTTCCTGCCTTACCCCTCCATTTCTCAAAGGGCTTTCGGATCCAGAGCGCGGCTCCTGTGTGAATTGAGTTTTGTATTAAAGGTGACTGAAAACTGTTTGGCTCACAGTGACTGACAATTGAGAAACTGCCTTACTGTTCAATTTTTTTGTAATAAAACTTCTAATGTAAAACAAAAAAAAAAAAATGGGCTTAAAATAAAAACCACTGCCAATAGCAGTGAAAAATCCTCCACATCAAACTCTCCTCGTATATGTCTGTTGTAAATCTGATCACACAGATTTTTTTTATCACTGCCTGTGTTTCCTGGAAACTGAGCTCATTTGTTTCCCTTCCCAATCTGGGCCGGCAGGAGCAGAAGGTGCTCGTACCACAGATTGCTGTTAAACACCTTCTCGGCCCCACACTCCGTGTCTGGGTTGGAAACACAGCACGAACGGGCTGCGAAAGGGGCGGGCGGGTGCTGCTGGGCTGGAAGCGCGCTACGCACACAGGGTCCCCAAAAGGAGCCGGCCGGCTCTTGGGGAGGCCCGCGGCTCGGCCCCCTCTCCCTAACACGCTGATTTATGGCGGTCGTGGGGTGGGCTTTAACAGCAACGTGGGAACCCCACCAGCTCCTGGCTTGAAACTCCAAACAGGCGCAGCAGCGGGGCAGCTGCTGAGGGACGCTTTTCCCGGGATGACAAATGCTTCCATTTCCTGAAGCCAGGAGGTCAAACCACCAGTGATTCCCCATAGTTCTCGGGTGGGGAAGCAGGATCAGGCCATCCTGCAGCACAGCCACCAGCAGAGCACTCACGGGTAAGGGGGTCAGGCTGACGCCTTCCCTTACCAGGACACGGGCGGTTCATACGCTACCGCTGTTTGTGCTTCGCTCTTGGGAAACAGCGGCGCTCGTACTCGGTTTGTGCTCGTCGGGAGCCTGCAAAAAAGCACAGCACGGGCTGGTGAGAAGCCTCCATCCTTTTGCCGGAGCAATGGAGCCCTGTGCTGCTGATGGAGCGCTTGGCTCGCAGTTCGGGAACGGCCCTCCCCGCCCCACGCAGCCCCCAGGCACAGCCGATGTGCGCACAGATTTGGCAGCCACCGGAGAGGAAAGGCTACAGCGTACCAGCATTTTCTTCTTTTTTTTTTTTATTTTGGAAACGTGAATTCCTTCCATCCCCAGCTACTCCATGCGTGCCGCTGAACTGCGGCCGTGCCCCTAGCAGCAAGGTGGGCCAACGCCAGGGGAGCATGGGCAGCCAGGTGGCTCTGTCCTTTTGGAGGACACCGAGCTTTCTGGGGTGTTCGTGGGCTGCCCTGGCCTGGGGACACCGCTCCTTGCCCCGGGCCGGTAATGGCTGAAGCGGGGCTGCCCCTTTGGTCAGCCTGGCCACCGAGCTGCTACGGCCAAGCCAGCAGCGCAGGGGCGTTAGCACAGGGGCCTCGGGGGGTGAGATGCAGCTCCCAGCCCTCCTTTCCGACACAAGAGAGGGGCTGCTCTGCCTTCTGTCTGTGGCCCGAGGCACCCGCCCGGCATTTGGGGGGGCTCGGTGGCTTCGCCCCCTCCCACGGAGGGGGGGAAGGGTTGGGGTTCAGCCCCGTGCTACCCCGGACTGGTGCTGATGCGCTGTGGCTTCCCACCACCCCACCCGGGTATGTGGGGCTCTTCCAGCACAGCTGCACAACCACAGGGGATCGTGCCCACGGGAGGGACCCCCCCCCGGGTAAGAACCGCAGCAGCTGCAGCTTAACCAGGCAGGGAGAGGGAAAAAGGCCTGCGAATCGCTGCAGGGCAGCACAAGAGGAGGAGAAAGGAACGGGTCTGATGGTATCGGCCCCTACGGATGGGGGAAGGCAGCACGAGGCTGAAGTGATCGTCCAGGGACTCCTGGAGAGACTGGACCAGCCCCTGAACTGGAGCAGAGCCCTGCTGGGGGAGTGGGTCTTTAACCACCCACCCATCCTCCTCCAGCTGCTGGACTCTTGACCCAACTCTGAGGGACTCAGGCATTTCATCATCGAGCTACATTTGCTCGTTCCGATAATTAGTGACTCATCTGGCTCCCAAACCAGGCTTTGAACCAACCACAGATTACCTGCTCACCTTAACCACGAGCTGCCTCTTCCTCCTGCTTAGGCCGTGCTTAAACATTGATCAGCAATCCACTGAGCCAAAACTGATAGAAAAAGAGCTCAGTCTCTCAAGCCTCCGTTCTCCCCATGTCCCCAGCAGAACACAAAGGGAAGGATCCCAGCCAAAGCACGTGACCGCGCGTCTCTGCCTACGACCGTGCGTTCTGAAAAAGAAACGCTCAAAAGGAGCTGGACCAGCCCCTGCGCTTCCCTCCCGGGAGCCGAGCCCAGGACACAGGGGTCAGCGTTTGCTTTGGTGTTGCTGATAACGTGAAGCCAAGAGGGTTTCCAGCTTCATCCGGGACGGAGCTTGCTCCCATCGGCACGGGGGGGACACGGGCACACACGTCCAGCTGCACTGCCGCGGGACGGGTGGCTGCCCTGTGCGGTCAGCTCTACCTCCCGTTTGACAGCAGCACGCTGCCAACAGTCAGACGGTGTCGCTAGGAGCGAGTGACTCACCACAGCCCCAGGGCTGCTCTAAATTTAAGCATTACAGAGTCAGAAATGAATGCACGGAGTCAGGAGCTGCTTACCCTGAGGTCAAGACGAGGTTCAGAAACCAGCTGTCAAGAGTTCACCATCGTGGCAGGCAACGTCTGTATCCCTCAAAGCTTTAGAGAGGGAAAAAATTGGTGTAGGGAGGGGGTATTTGCAACCACAGTGGGTCAAAGCAAGGTCAGGCACCCGGCAGGTACCTGCTGTGCACACCCACCTCAGGACACCCTGGCTTCTGCAGCCGTCGAGCCTGAGCAGCAGCTCCCCGAGCTGACTGCGCGCGTGGGGAGGTGGTCTGCTGCGTCTGTTAGTTTTACTCCATCCCACATTTTTCTTGGTCTTCAGATCTTGAAGTCTGGGTGCAACCAAGCTATTTGCAGCTGGACTGAAAACGTCTCTGGAGACTGGTGTGGGGAGGGGTGGAAGGAAGGAGGAGGGAGGGAAGAGAGCAGCTCACCCTCGGGGCAGGGCAAAGGAGCTGCCACGTTTTGGGAAAGCAGTTAGACCGCTTTTTTATTCACAAATTTTTGCTTCGGGACAACAAGCAACAAACTAGTATGAAAGTTTCTGACTCCTCTTTTCCCAGGCTCTGTACTTTGCCAGCTGCTCCCCCCGGCCCCGTTCAGCTTTCCTCACAAACTCCAATTGATTTTGCAAACAGCCCGGGCTCCACGCTCCGGCCAGAGCCACCCCCTCCAGGCTGCATGCCCTGCGTGGCGCAGCACGGACAGCTCATCCACCACTCACCGCGTTTGCATCCTCTGCAGTCCTGCCAGCATTTTTTCCCCCTCTCTCTTCGCGTTCAGCAGCACATGGATCAGCCACCAGGGACTAGGGGATGACGAAGAAAGCCATGTTCTGGAGCTGCCCCCAGAGCAACCCTAAAAGGCTCCGCATAAAAGCATGGCACCAAGCACAGCCACCCAGGGGCTCTACACAACGTTTC